GTTTCTGTCAGGATCCATCAGAGACTCAGACCAGAACCAGAACCAGAACCCAGCTGTGTGTCCTTTAAGAGCGACTGGTCAAAGGATGACTTCATTAACTTTAAATCTCCTGGATCTCCACCTTCATGGAGGTGAGCTGTTTCTAACTGCTGTAACTGATCAGTTTATATCAAATCAAATTTTGTTTGTGTAGCACATTTCAGCATCAAGGCATTTCAAAGTTCTTTACGTCATAATAAACACTAAAACAGAGTCATGCAGTATAGAATCATCAAACAAAACATCACTTTAAGTCAAGTGCCATCATTAAATTAGTAACTGATTATGTTTCAGATCAACTCCAACTAGGTGGGTCCTAGTCAAGATTTAAATGCACTCAATGTTTCAGCTGTTTTACAGTTTTTTAGAAGTTTGTTAAAGATTTGTGGTGCATAGAAGCTGAATTGCTGCTTCTCCTCATTTGGTTCTGAACCAGAACCAGAACCTGAGGGGTCTAGACGGTTGGTACAACACCACCAGGGGCCTCATGCATAAAAGACTGAGCAGTTTTCACACTAAAACTTGGAGTACGGAAAAATTCAGGGAAGTGCCGCGCACAAAAAAATCAGATGCATAAAGCCGTGCGCATGCACGTGGCTGCTCACCTTTCCTTTATAAATCCTCATTTGTGGGAAATAGAGCGCAGCTGCTGGTCTGCCCTGTCGCCTCCATAAATACATCTTAATGTAAACTAGAAAATTCCTGAAGAAATTTAACTGGGGCCTGGCAAAGTGTACCCGTTGGTTTGCAAAAAATTAGCATCAATGCTAAAGAAAGCTGCAATGTACTCAACAGCATGTGGAGAGTCAGAAGCATGTTGACTAAGCTGTACTTGTACCGTTCATTATATTGCATTAGCTAAAACTAGACAAAATGCTAATAATAGCATGAATGCTATCAGTACCATCTGGGGTATCACTAGCATGTTGTCTGTCATTTACTTACTCCATTCCGTATACAAAGCATGGCTAATAAGAAAGAAAAGCTTTCTGCTTTCTCAACATTAGCATCAATGCTAAGCTGACCAAAATTGTAGTCAAAAACCTGTGGAGAGTCAGAAACATTTTGACTAAGCTGTACTTGGACCATTCATTATGTTAAAATTAATTAGCCAAAATGCTCATTTTAGCTTGATTGCCATCAGTAGCATGTGCGGCATCACTAGTATGTTGTCTCTCATTGACGTAGTCCACTAAACATGACTAATAATTAAGAAAATTATCTAAAAGCTTATTTTAGGTGAAATGCTAATGCACTGGCTTGTGCAAGCCAGTGCCATAACTTGAGAGAAAATACTAATAAAGGCTAATATTATTGCACGGCATACGAAGTAATAGCTCCAATGCCGTGATCGAGTCACATTTTTTGACATTTCATGTTTGTGTTCTGTTTTTCTGCTTTAAGGACTTTTAATGTGACACTCTTAGTTATTTTATTAGTAAATATTGCTGGATGAATATTTCCTGCCTTCCTGATTGTTCCTGGTTCCTCCACAGAGTGGACCAGCAGAGCTCAGAGGTTCCCAGTGGTCCGTCTGCCCAGCAGCATCAAACACAGCTGGACTCCATATTTATGGTCTGTACATGAACAACAAC